TGCTGTTATTAAAAGTCCTCAAATGCTCCAGTTTCTGTTACTTGATACAGTTCTTTGTATGTGATTCTGGAGAACCAATCTACAAGTCATTAATCTTAGAAAGCAGTTTATATATTTTGAAATAGGTTTGGCACCATGCATGCCATCCATATGAAAATCTTAATCTGACAAGGCTTTTTAAGAACATGATTCACATTTTTGGGTTAATGTTCAATTTCCTATACTAAATTTGTTATAACTGATCTATATACCAAGGTATTTGAAGAGTTTGGTTGTTGGTAAATCCATATCCTGAATTTTTATTTTGGATTCAGGGTAGGCAACATCACTGTATTCATTTCTATTCCAGATCACAGTTTATATTTTGAAAAGGTTTATCTTGTATCTTATTTCTTGGAAGAATTTTTTTTTTGTTGTTCAAGATCATTCTTATAAGAACTATGAATGCCTATGTCATCAGCATAGATCCTTTCCTCATTAGTCCTGTGGCCTCATGAGGGAAAAAAAAGAAATATATATATATATATATATATATATATATAGTCATCCACAGACAGACTGTTTCACTGTATCACACCTCCTTAGTGAGGCTAGACATCTGATCGTTTCAAGCCAGGAACAATTTATACCAATTTAGCATCAGTCATCATTCTAACACCTGGCAGGGAGAAAGGTGAATTTTTGTGTATTTATTTCTTCATAAACATGACAATCACCTAGAGGACTCAATCCAGGTTGGAGAGTCTTGCAATATATTAAAACAAAAACATGCTGAAATCGCAACAATACCGAAACATGGAAACTATTGTGTAGCAATTTCAACATGTTTTAGTTCTAATAATCTAAAATAAAATAATAATAATAATAATATACTCCTCTACTTAGTATTGAGCCCTTTTTTAAAAAAAGTAAATGCTACAAACAGCAGAATTTTACTTCATCTGTTTATTCTCGCATTTGGATATATATATATATATATATATATATATATAGATAGAGAGAGAGAGAGAGAAACTTTTGTTTTGTATTATTATTTGTAAATTCAGTTTAAAAATTTATTTTTGTGAATACCTATAAATGCTATGAGCAGTGGAATTTTACTTCAACTGTTCTTTCTCTCATTTGAAAATATATATATGTGTGTGTGTGTGTGTATATATATATATTTATATATATATATATATATATATATATGTGTGTATATATATATATATAGAGAGAGAGAGAGAAAGATAGCTAGCTTGATAGATTTTTGTTTTATATTATTTATATAAATTCAGTCTAAAAATGTATTTTTCATTAATACCTATAAATTATAAAGACATCTCTGGGAATACTTTTATGTATAATTAAACTTTCTTTTCAGATATAAAAAGAATAATTTTCTAGTGTAAGTTATCATATATGCATTTCTGTGTCTCTGTCATGACTGAATTTATTGTCAATTTCATTTTTTTCATTAAGGGTGGCATTTCTGTTGAGTGTGGAACTTTTCCTTCAATTGTAGTTAATTTCTTGGTACCTGCTGCACTAAGGCAGTTATGTAAAATGAGGCATCTGCCACCATCTTTTACTGTTGGGATGATATTTTTGCATAATGTTCTGTGTTCTTTTTTCTTCCAATATAATGTTGTTGCTTATGTCTTTTAAGGCATAATTTTTATTTTGTTTCAACAATTAACTGTATTTTGTGACTCATTTGACTGAATCTGAAATTATTTAGTGAATGCTAAATGAGCTTTTTTATGCTTTTCTTCAGTAGTACAGAGATGTTCATAGGTGTGTGTCCTCCATCTTTGACACATAAAACTCCTAAGGGACACAATAACTGTCCCATCTATGTGATACAACTAAAGTTTCCCATGAAAAGCAATATATTGCACATATTCTTTCAAACACTTTTTACTAATTCTTACTTTCTTTTTTTTCACTTAATCTTTTCTACTTTTTATTGAATGATGTGATGTGTAGGGGGCATGAAACAGATATCACTGTCACCTTACATGAAATATTCATGGTTTTTTTTTTTTATTTTTTAATAGCCTACAAATTTATTGAGGACATATTAAACTAACACTTATGAAAACTAGTGTAATCTTATACTATTTAGTATATATTTTGAAATTCCTGTCAATTTTTATTTTTTTTATATACTAAGGTTCATCCGATAGAAGGCTTAAGAGCCACTCGTGGCAGAGGTTAATGAAATGTAAGAGAAGGTAGTTGAAGATAGAAGGAAGTGAAGATGAGTGACAGTTCTTAAGAAAAGCTGGGTCAATCTTTCTTATATTTGGGACACAAAGTCACTGAGAGTGATTCAACACCATGGAAATGGCATGGAATATCCTAGCTGTAAAGATCTGAACTGATGGAACTAAAAAATGGAGCTTGTCTGTATATTTGTTATGGAAATGGCAATAGAGTAGCTATAAGGATTGTAACATGTCTGTGGGAAAGAGGCTGTTGAGTGGAGAATAAGCCTTTTTTCACAGGACTGTGTAAATATCCTAGATGTAATGGTCTGAACTGGTAGAACTACAGAATAGAGCTCATCTAAATATTGCCATTGAAATAGCAATGGAGTGGTGACAGAGTTGCAATGTTGCATCTGTGGGAAAGAGGCTGCAGATTGGGGAATAATGTGTAAATGATTTTGAACAATTAAGACTGGAGAGAGATATTAAGCAGCAATCCTCCATTTTTGATCTAACCATCTTAAACTACTCTTCATTCAATACAAAATTAGTTTATGGTAAAGTGATCAGGGTATTTGTAAGAGTGGTCTCAAATTATACATATTGACTGAAAGGAATGATTTGACATCTATCAAAATGACATTTCTAAGTTGCATAACTAATATTGATATTATTTACACTATTTATACACAGACTCTTGACCTTCTCTTTGTTGTTGCTATCACAACAATTGTTCTGCCCTGTGGCCATCATCAAGTGTTGATCCAGGTAACCTATAGGGAATTCTGAATTGAATTCTTTATTTAATCTACAGGGTAGATTGTTCTCATTCCAGTGTCCATGCTTAGCAATATCACTGCTTGGCCTGTTTCCACTGAGTCCAAGTATAATCCCCAGTTTAGCGATTGAATTTACAATTACTCTGTCACCAAATTTATGAGCCAACATTTTAACCCAATAGGCTGTTATCATTAATGGGACAATAGCCTAGTAGATTAAAGCACTGGTTCATGAATTTGATGACATAATGACCATGTGTTGCTTGGAAAACCTGATACTCACAGGACAGATTGAGGGAAAGAATGACAGAGTAAAATATAACATACTTGATCAGCTTGAGTAAATGGATGGTAGAACAGAAATAAAAAAAAAGACAAGTATTAAGAGCTACAATGGACAGGAAGATGTGGAGAGCCATGATCGCCTATATCCTGAAGGGACACTACACATAAAAGTGCTAGTGTGTACTTGGACTATGGAAACAGGGCAAGCAATAACTGTGCAGGACTAAAAATAAGAATTAGATGAGAAATCCCTAGACATGGGCATTGTAACAAAAACTACCTACCCCTGTAAATTAAATAAAGAACATGCACCTGATGAAGGCCAGAGGACATAGTGACCAAAACATTGGTAACAACAACAAAGATGAGGACGATAGGCTGTGTTTAAACTGTGTAAACACCTTATCCCAGAAATTCATTGATAATATCAGTTTTATTCATTTGCCTGTTTAACTTTTTTATTTCTCCAACCTTGAAAAGATTATAAATGAAAGTTACTAAGCCAACCTATATCTATAATAAGAACATACACACAAAACTTAATTCTCTATGTCTTTTCTATAAATACTGTCATGGTAATTGTTCTGATGAGCTCTTCGCTATGGCACCTCAACTTTTTGAATTTAAGCACAGTACTAGTGTTGAGATTTCATCAATTTACAGTTAAGCTGGCTAGATGTAATTGATAATTCTATGCTAACAGTTTCTTTTCTTGCACTTCTCACTTATGGAACTCTGTTCCAGCTGCATGCTTTCCAGCCAACTTTAATCTGCAAAATTTAAATGCCATGTCAATCGCTATCTACTTTCCTCCTGATTACTCTTCTTTTGTTCTTGCTATTTAGTAATGTTTCTGTTTTCTAATTTTTCCTCACCTAGTAACTGCATGTGTCTTAGTGGCTTTACAGCCTTGCCTGGAGTGAACTTGATGAAAAAATAATTTTAAATGTAATGTCAATCGCTATCTACTGTCTTCTTGATTACTCTTTTCTCTTCCTTTTCATTATTAATGTTTCTGTTCCTAATTTTTCCACACCTTATAACCCCTTGTGTCTTAGTGATTTTACTACCTCGCATAGAGTGATACTAATTAAAGAAATACCATTAACTAGTATTATATTGTTTTTCAAAATTATACATTTCATCTCATCATGTCAAAGTCTGTTTTTTTTTACTCTCCTTTGGTAGTTTTTCATCTATCTTTTGATCATCACCATCTCTTCTCCAGAATTAAGGGCATTATTATAGCAAATGTTTCTCTTGGCATTGAGGGAAGCAAAAGAAAGAGGAATTGAGGAAGCAAGTGAACTGAGATTACACCCCCTGAAGTGTATGATCTCAGGTTGTGAAAAACATCTCTCGGATCATGTTCGTGGCTGAAAGGACTCAAAGAGTGTTTCTCATAGTTACTGTTACACTCTCAACATGGTGTCTTGAGGCATAGATTAGCAAACTGAAGATTATAGGTGTAGTGGCAAGGTGAGGGGGTTGAATGATTATAAAAGAAGGTGCAGAATGCTATCACAACTACCAACATCATCACCATTACTGCCAGCAGACAAATTGTTTGCTTAACTATCTGCTAGAAGATAATTCCTTGTATCTACCAAAGTCTCTAGACTCCAATCTTGTATTGTACCAGCAGACCCTAGAGGTGAGATTTGCTTAATGGTACAACTTGGGTCCCAATTTTTCGGCAAATTTATCCTCTTATTATTTATATTTGTTCTGCCATTAACAGGAAATTGGAGGCAAGTCTTGTGGCAGAGAGAATGGACACAAACAGTTTATGAGCCCAGACTGCCTTAATGAGAGAGAAGATGGCTTAAGCGGGGGAGATGCAGGACACTGTCAAGACAGAGAAGGTGAGTGTCATATCTAAACAGGCTTCCCACTGTTGTCTTTTTTGTAGTAACAACAGAGCATTGAAGAGTTCCTGTATATTTCCATCCAATCCATCTCATCTCCTCAGCATACAATTTAAATGAAAGCTAACAAGATCTTCTTTTATGTGCTGTGTCCCTTCAGTACATGGGCGATCATGGCTCTCCACAATTTCCTGTCCTTTGTAGCTCTTAATAAATTTTGTATTTTTCTTATCTGTCCTAAACTTTGTTCTGCCAACCATTTACTCAAGTTTATTAGCAAGCAAACATGAGTATGCATTGTTTTCCTCCTACCTCTTCATTGTTTTCCTCTTTCTTCTTTCCATCAATATGTTCTGTGAGTATCAAATTTTCCAAGCCCTCTTTCCTTATTATGTGCCCTAGAAATTTCAACTATCTCTCCCTAATGTTAAGTATAAGTATCGTTTTGTTTCCATTTTCTTTTAAACTTCTTCATTGCTCATGTGTTCCATGCACAGTATTCTTGGCATCATTCTGTAGAACCAAATTTCAGTTGCTTCCAGTTTCCTCTTCAACTATGAGGAAATTGTTCAGCATTCACTGCTATATAAGAAGAAGGATATTACAAAATAGTTCAGTACTCTTTTCTTTGTATCTCATGAAATTTTTTTATTTCTTAATACTTTGTTTAGCTTTTGCAAGGCATATTTTACTATCCCAAAATGCCTTTGGATTTCAGTGTGGTACTTTCCATCCTCTGTTAAAACACTTCCCAGATATTTAAATTGTTGTACTTGTTTGATTTTGGTATCTCCAATTTGTAATTTGATGGTGGGCTATTCCTCATGCTAACAATCATACATTCTATCTTCTTGCAACTGATGCTTAGTCCTTTCTTCTCACTTTCCTTCACTAACAAGATAGAAAAACATAAAAGAAAGTCTTTTAGCAAATTCCCCAAAGAAACAAGAAACTTGCATTCTCATAATTTTTCTCACTGGAATCTTATACATTTATAATTCAACCATTCACCCTTGCTTTGAATATTGCTGCCACAAATGGTCTGGTGCTTCTGCTATGTATTTAGAGAGCCTTAATATAATCCAAAGAAGAATATCAGCCTCAGTCACTTTCCCACCACCACTGTGTAGCTTCCCTGTGACTTTTCTATAAATAATTTCATGTTAATCGTGTGTAAGTAAATCTAACAAACTCAACCGGAATTTGAACTCGGCAAGAAAATAGTACTGAACATAATATTAGTCCTCCTCTATGGCAGTGTATGCTTGACAATCTCCTCATAGTTGAATAGGAAACTGGAGGTGACAAGAATTTGGTTCTACAGAATGATGCCAAGAATACTGTGCACAAAATGTATAAGCAATGAAAAAGTCTCAAGAAAAATGGAAACAGAAAGAACACTTATATTTAGAATTAGAAATTCTCAAAGCACATAACCAGGAAAGAATGTCTAGAGAATTTGACACTTGCTGGACATACTGAAAGCAAGAGAGACTAAAAGCAGAAGGCCACCAACTTGACAAATTTGTGTTAAAAGATGGTGGAACGGCGGAGTGGTTTGGAGTGATATCAAAGAGATAAACATCGCTAAGAGCTACAAAGAATAGGAGGTTGTGGAGAGTCGTGATTCTGAAGAGAAATGGCACATAGAAGAAGAGGTGTACCTATTAAGTAGATCTGGTGTTAGATAAACCATAAATTAACTTAATAGGTATAAATTGAAAAGTGAGTGGAGTGGAGATTTATATATAAAACATCAAAATATATCCCTGGAATTTAAAAAAGGAGGATTATATGCAAGAATTTGAGAATAGAAATTACCATATCTAATGGAATATAAGGACCTTCTCCATAAATAGTTTAGAAATATTTCTTGGATTTTAAATAAAGGGATAATGTAGAACAGCAGTCACTAACTACTGGGCCTCAGACCATTTGGTACTGGGCAATGCAGAAAGAAGAAAAGCTTTTTGTTCCATTTTCTTGAATATTGTGGTCTTATTTATTGTGTTTTGTTATGTGTGTGACTGACACCAACCTTGATCCATTTCATGGAAAAATTGACTCGCATGACACCCTGTCCATGGCATAAAGAGGTCATGGACTGCTGCTGTAGGCCATCAAAACTGATAATTAGCCTCATTATAATGCCATAATCATATTTTCTTGTGTATGATACAAGAAATTTTGAATTAAAATTATAGGTAAAAAAAGGTAGTCATATTATACATTATATGATGATACATTATTATATTATTATATTATGATACATTATATTATTATATATAATTATTATTATTATATAATTATATTATATATTATAATTATATATTATATATACTATAATTAATTTTCATATAATTTAAATATATGTAATATAATTCAAATCAATATTATAATTATATTATTATATTATGATACATTATATTGTTATATATACAAGTACACATTTTCAGAAATTTTTACACAGCTTAAAAACCTCTTATTTGAAACAGCAAGATTGCAAATACACTCAACATCATAGATAATAAAACATAAAGTAGAGAGGTGTTGATAATAATTTTTTGCAAAAGGTATTTGATATGTCATCAGTATTTGTTCTTTAGGAATCAACATAATTCAACATCTTTTGTCTCAAAGAGATATTCATGAAAATTGATTAAAAAAATGAATAAAGGGAATACACAAGATCTGTCAAGTATTGATAATATTAATGTTATGGTAAAGCACCTTTAACAAAAAATTCAAAAGTAAGTTTTGAAATAGAAATTAGAAGAATTACACAATGGCTGAATACCTGATTCTTTTCTATTCTTTGATATCATGAAAAATTAAATACTAGTGAAATATATGTGTGACATTGAGATTTTAATTTTCATACAATGTTTTAAAAAAAGTTACATAGGGATGGTTGTACTACAGGCTCATATTATATTGAAGGATGTCATTTATTCCCTGTTTTTGCTTAAGAAACACAGAGTGATATTACCCACAAGAAAATACAGTAATATTAAGTGTAAATGGTGGATATTCTTATATGCCCACAAATATGTTGCTGTTGCTCAGAAGCATTGTCATATATGAAACTTTTTTGCTGAAACCTAAAAAATGTTATATTGAAATCAATGCAGTTTTTAAAGAATTATTAGATTTTATTTTTAATCCATTTTTTTATTATTAAAAATATTATTTTATTGGATTAGTCAGTTATGTGCCATGCGTGATATACACTTAGGTGATCATGTATCTTTTGATACATGACTGATGAGGCATATTATTTCTTGCAGTAGGTTGCCATTTCTTTCTGCAGTAGACCAGTTGCCATCCAAAGCTATAGAACCCAATCTGTCCTACTATTGACCTATAGCTAGTGGGGAGAAGAAGAGGATTCATACCTTTCCCAAGGGTATTAGCATGTAAGTGAATGTCATGGATTTGAGTGGAATTCAAATTTGGCTTTCCGATTCCTCAAGCCAAATCATATCCCTTACTCTACCATGCCTCCTCCTTTATTGGATACCTGTATTTGAAATAGATGCCCTGTTTTTATTTTAAACAGTATGTATTACCTTTATTAACCTGCACACCCAAGAAATCTTGTTTATATATTAGCCTATGGGTAAACATGGATTGCACGTATACTTGTATCTATAGGTAAATATTGGGCAGGGTTATACATGAGCCTATAGGTAAATATTGAATGCACTTATACTTGAATCTATAGGTAAACATTGGTCAGATGGAGTTCAATACAGTTGATAGGTAAAATTTTTTGCACTTATACTTGAATCTATAGGTAAACATTGGTCAGGTTTATACATGAGCCTATAGGTAAATATTGATTGCACTTACACTTGAATCTATAGGTAAACATTAGTCAGGTTTAGTGCAAGTCCATAGATAAACACTTTTTGTAAGTAAAGGATCCCCCCCCTGAACTTGCCCCAAGTTGAGAACCCCTGATATAGATGTTGAAACACTTAAAAAGAACTATTAAATAATATGAGATTAAAAAAGATCTAAAGTCTGATAATAAAAATTATAATACAGTTAATTTCCCAGATCAGACTTGAAAAAGTCAGAAGATGAAACACGTCTGCAAAATCTAAGATTTTTTTTTCCAATTGTCATTTTATACCCAAAATTATAATACTAAAACATAAGCAACCAAGATTGTTCCATCTTATTTTTTCTTAATATTTTTGTGCGCAGTAATATAAACAGTGGAAACTCTGGAAGTTTCCTATTTACTTCTATGGAAACTAGATACAAGGCTCAGAATAACACCATTAGATAGAGCAAGTTTTCCACATCACCAAAAGTTATGTATCTTTGAGCTGGGCTTCATTTGTTGGGTTGACAGCCATGAAGGGCTTTCCATGATGTGGCTTGTCATTGCTGTTGCCAATGTTGAAATGCATTTACCTACCACCTAACTGTGCTCACATCTACATTTTGGTCTCTGCAAATGCCCAGTAAATGTCAATGGGTGCAATATTTTCTGCAGGAGAAATTCAGTGCCACAGTTGTGCTTCATACACACTTTCATGTCAGACGCCATTTTGACAGACTACATGCTATTTTTTCTGTCTGACTTTGCTGGGATGGGCAGTTATGTACACTATTTACATGTAGATTATTACCCTCATCTTTGTTGTTGCTATCACAATATTTTGGCCTCTGAGCTTCATCAGGTGTATGTCTATCAGAGTAACCTACAGGGAATTCCATACTAAACCCTTTATATAAAAGTCTCATGGATAAAAGCATTGGTTCATGAATTTGGTGACATAATAATTCTGGTTTCAATCCCTGACTCGGACAGTGTTTGCTTGGGCTCAGTGGAAACAGGGTGAGCATTAACTGAGAAGTACTAAAGATAAGAACTAGACAAGATATCCTTAGCCATGGGCAGTGGTATGAGAACAGTCTATCCATGTAGATTAAATAAAGGGTTCAGTTTGTAATTCATGAAACATTGTGATAATAACAACAAAGATGATTGACTGATTTGTTTTCTACAGCTTATCAACCCTTATTTAAAGCCAGAAAATATTTTTAGATTGTAAGAATTTTTTTTTTAGATAATAATGATTTAGTGATACAAGTCTTACTAATTAACCCATAGCTGGGAAAGAAGAGGTAGATTCAGTCCTTTCTCAAGGGTATTTGCACATAAGTGAATATAATGAACCCAGTTGGAATTGGAACTCGGCTCTCCAATTAATAGTTCTAAGCTATTATCTATTATATCATCTGCATATCCAAGCTTACAGCACCTGGTATTCCCAAGTGGTTACCTCTCTAGGTACTGACTAGGCTCGATGTTGCTTAACTTTGATGATCATATGAGAACCAGTTTAAATGACATATGGCCATAAGCAACAAAGATGAGGACAATAGTTTTCATGTAAATAAGGTAAATAATGATAATTGCAACAAAGTAAAAAATTATACGTAATTAGTGGGAAGGTTCACTCTCTTCTGGCATACTACTGATATCAATATCATGGACCAATGTAATAAAAGAGGAGGTATTATTTTTGGAGGAACCCTCATAGATTGTTCTAATTTAAGCAATTTTAAACAGATAAAGTGCCAATTATATACTAGTTGCAACTTGCCTTTCATTTTTCTTTTCAATATGTGATGGTTCTGAGACTGGAAAAATAAAGAATAAGTGAAGTTCTGATTATTATATTTGATAAAGGGTCAGTTGAAATTACTGGGGCACATTATGAGGAAAGTGGGCTTGGAGAATTTGACACTCACAAGACATATTGAAGGCAAGAGGTGCAGAAGCAAACAAGTAAGCTACATAAGAAGCTTGTATACATAGATGTCAGAACAGGGATGGGGAGAGATAATAAGGAGACAAACATTGCTTAAAACTATAAAGGATGGGAAATTGTGGAGAGCCATGATCACCCATATCCTGCTGTAACATGGCACATAAAAGAAGAATGTACTACATCTGCCATTGCTTCAAAATAGTTCTGTTTTTTTAGTAGACTTATAGAAGTTACTGATTATTTTTGCTTTCCACTTTTTTTTGTTCTTTCATGGCACGGATTCAAATAAGACAAGTTTAGCTGGTAGATGTCATGTGTCCAGACCATTTTGACAGGAAAGTTTGGATAGTGTCAACAAGCTTTTGCTGATGAGGTATTTTAAGCTATTCTTCTCTTCATTAATCCTCTTCCAAGTGATGTCACACTGTCTCATTTGCTAAAAACAGAATATATCAATCAAAATATGTTTTCACAAAACAAAGAACAGAACATACATAAAAAAATCATTGCGTTTCAACAATTACTGGCATAATAATAACAAAAAAATAGACAGAAATTATTTATGATTTTAGATACAGATCACTTAACACTTCTATTGATGTGGCCTGTACTTCTTTACAGATTTACAAAACTTATATTGCCTGCTGTAGACGTGTTTGTATATATATATATATATATATATATATATATATATATATATGAGATAACAATATATATTTTTATATATAAAGAACAACATTGTGGAAATTGTATGACAAAGTGGAAAAAGTTTACTTGTGATGCATTTTGTCCTTCAGGATTTCATTGGACTAAATTAGTTAGGGTGGTACGATTACACATGCACACGAACAAAGGGTGCTGAGAATTTTAGGGACATTTTACAAAACAATACATCAAATGTGTTGGTTGCCCACCATAATGAGACTGAACACAATTTTGACATAAAAAATGCTTCTCTGATCAAAGGAGAAAACAATTCACTATGATGTGAATGTCTAGAGAGTACCTTGATTACAAGGTTATCTACAATAAATAAATAGTATAAACACTTTCACGGAAATTGTTCAGAAGAGCTCTTTGCTATGCTACCTAGATTTTATGAATTTAAGTGCAGTACTAGAATGACAACAAGGCCTCTGGAGAGTTGGTTCAACTGAGTAGTGGCCCATGAGAAGAAACTGCTCAAGTTGAACTTTCTCATGCCTACTTTCTCATGTTTTTCACTGACCTGAGGTGAAACAGCTACATTGAATCAATAGCTGCATCTACCGCAAGGAAAGTTGCTTCTCTGTGTCACTCCAGAAGGTTTTTCTCGTCTGAGTTCATCTTTCAAATCTATCATTCATACATGCATGAAATACTGTTGCTATATATGGTCTGGTGTCGTGGCAGCTCATCTTGAGGTTCTTGACAAAATCCAATGATGGATACACAATGTGATACGCATTCTTCTTTTTATCCTTTTACTCAATCCCTCCTATACCCAGTCTTTTCCTTTACTTCCACTCTCTGTAGCTCTTTGTGTACTAGTGGCATTCCCACCTTGCTCAGGGAGAAATACTTAAAAAAACAAAACAATGGAATATGGAGGGAATGAGGGTGGTTCTTACAATGTGCATAGTATGGTGGGTCCTAGCTGTGAATATTAGAATAGGTGTAACTAAGCAATGTAGTTTGCCTGAGTACTTTCTATGAAAGTAGCAATAGAGCAGTGAGAGGCTTGCTGCATTGTATGTATGAGAGAAGGGTTGTAGGGTGGAAAATAATTTGTTTCCCACAAGGGCACAGAGACACTTTTGGACTGGAAAGAGATATATTTGTTGTCCAGTGCCTCACTGATTCCATGAGTAATGGTAGTTAGGGCATCATCAGTACTACTTGTTGTTCAAAAGGTTGCTTTTATTCAGGTAATCAACAACTTTCTTGATTATAGCCTCAAAAAGATTGCTAATGATGCTGAGGGCACTGATGTATCTGTGCTGAGAGGAGGATGATCAAACCCACATTTTTGAAAACTGCGCATATGCTTGACACCTTGCACAGACTTGGGAAGGATTTCTCCTTTAGGCAATGGTTAAATAATTTTGCTATGACCAGGAATAGTTCGAGTTGATATTCTTAACTTCTGGAATAGTTCTAGGTCGATATTCTTGGACAACCATTGGGAATTTGTCCCGGCCAGTGGCTTTCTTGGAATCAAAACTTTTGATAAGACTGTAATAAAAATATGACTGAGATTGTGCTCAGTGAGATGGTTGGAGAGTGAGGAAGCATTTTTCAGTGCAAGATGTGAGTAAGAGGTTAAGGAAGCTTGCCTGATGTCTTATCACATTAGGAATGCAGGTGGGTTCTTCAATGATCTGAGCTAGTTTATAAGCAATGGAAAAGTCTGTAATATCTGCCTTCTTCATCGGCTTTGTTTAAGTGGACTAATCAGTTTGTGGCAAATAGTAAATCACAGATATGAAAGCTAGCTGAGGGAAATTCAATATTCTCAGATATTCAGTCAAAAATTAGTCTCCTATTGTCCAGAGGATGATAGAGAGGGAAGATATGAATGTGATAATGTGGATAAGTGCCATGCAGAAGCACATATAAGGGTGATCAGGATCCTTGTTTTTGTCATCTCTGCTACTGGGGAATGCATTCTTAATGTATGGAGTCCATGGTTATGTGTGTGTCTCTCTCTCTCTCTCTCTCTCTATATATATTTATATATATATATATATATATATATATATATATATATATATATATATATGGATAAAAAAAGAAAAACATTTTATCCAAACTTGTTCTGTTCCTTGAGGAACTTTATCCAACCAAGCATGGAAATTTTATTTGTTAACCTGTATTTATACACAGAAGTAGTGTTAATTAAATAAAAGTTACCAAATAAAATTTCCATGCTTGCCTTGATAAAGTTCCTCAAGGAACAATATATTTGGCATAAAATGTTTTCCTCATATCTTTTTATTTATATTGTTTTTACAGATATATTTTAATATATATCTGAATTTTTGCTTGATGTTAATATATATATATATATATATATATATATATATATATACACACACATACACACACATATATATATGCATAAAAGACAAGTGGAAAAACTATTCTTAGCTGATGTATTTCATCCGCTGAGGGACTTTTATCAAAAGGCAAATTTGCCTTGATAAAGTCCCTCATAGACAAAAATATTTGTTGGCTAAGAATAGTTTTTCTCTTGTGTTTTTAATAATTTTATTCCTTTACAGATACGCTCTATCTGGAAATAATATGCACACACACACACACACACACACACACACACACACACACAATTTATATATTCAAGATGTATATCTTTATCAAACTTAAATTGCCAGCTATTAACATATATATCTACATTTTCAAGATGTATTTATACTGCTTTACTGCAGCTGACATATATACACATTTTCAAGACACTGTGAAATGTTGGTCCCAAGTGTTTGTCTTAGAAACTTAGCAATTTGTGCTATTTCCAAACTACTGTAAACATATAGCAGCACACAATACGACCTGTTTTGTAACAGATTTTTATTATATTGTTTGTTGGGAGTTTGATTTAACTTAATCAGTACTGCAAAACCAAAATGGCATTCCTCATGAGAAATTGTTGTCAGTGTCTTTAAGTCATTTATTTCTAGTAAGTGAAAGAAATGAAGAAGAGACTTGAAGAAATGTGATTATACAGAAAGATGCTGAGGATACCATAGGCTGAATATGTGAGCAACAACAAGGTTTTGTAGAGAGTGGAAACAAAGAGGAAACTTATACTTAACATCAGGAAGAGGTAGTTGAAGTTTCTAGGGCATGTAGTGTGGAAAAAGGGTTTGGAAAATCTGATACTCACGGGACAGATAGAGGGAAAAAGAAACAGAGGAAAACAGCGTGTAACATATTTGATGAGCTTGAGCAAATGTATGGCAGAACAGGGTTTAGGAGAAATAATAAAAAGACAAAACTTATTAAGAACTACAAGGGACAGGAAGATGTGGAGGACCATGACCGCCTACGTTCTAAAGGAACATAGCATATAAAAGAAGAAGAGTAAGAATGGAAATACATACTTACCAAATAGTACTGTTAAATTTCTCAATTTACTATCCCTTTGGTATAATAATCTAAACTTGAAAATCACCGTTTTTTTTTTTCTTTTCTTCTTCACACACCTGATGATGACATGTGAGTCAAAAGCTTGGATCCAATATGAATTCTCACTATTTTCTACATCAACAACAGCCATGTTTTTGAAATGCTATTCACATACTAGAAAAAATGATCAATAAATTTAATAGGCATAAAATTTCTATTCTTTTTAAGAAGACACATTTACAAGAATAGAAAAAAAAAGCAACAAATAGACTGAATAATGAAAGACAAAACTTATGATTATATTGCACTATATTTGACAACATAAAAAATTGCACCCCTCACAAACACACACATATGCACACAAAAAAAGCTAAAAAATTTCCCCCGGGTAGAACAGGTGTAACTAAGCAATGTAGTTTATCTGAGTACTTTCTATGAAAGTAG